TCGCTCATAACAGTGTACTGACCTACACATGTATAAATACGCGCGTGCATTACACATTGTCATTACGCTGCAGTATGGCACGTGAGCTGGTGTGTGCGCTGATTGCTGCGCTTGCAGGCCAACTCTGTGCGGTTGCGGCTCCCGTGTCTTCGAATTATTCCGACTGCAACGAGACCGTGGAGGATGCAACAAGAATTCAATGCACTGCAGAGGAAACGAATGTGATGGAAATGTTCATTTTGCTAATGGGGATACTGTCGGCTCTGTGCATGGCATCGTGCCGCGGGGGGGCTGTTGTGAAACAGGACACTACTCTCTCGCACTCCACTATAGCCCAGCCGCCGAGCTCGGCGTGTGTGGCCGAAGAGGAAGATAGTGCAAACTAAGCAAAGATCTTTCTGGATCCGGGAAGATGGTCTCGGGCCTAGTGCCCTGGAGGCTGTGGGGATCAGTAGTGTGTCATCAGCGCCCAAGGATGGATGTCGTTAGAGAGTTGGAGGCAAGATTAAGTGCGTTTTTGGAGGAGGTTAAGGAGTGCAAGGAGAAGAGAGGAAAGAAACGAAGAAGAAGAGTGCCCAGGTGGGAGAAGCGGGCCAAGGTGGAAGAATTGAACCTGTGGACACCTCCGCCCCCGCTCCTTTCCCCTCTGCCGGCAAGCCCGGAAACCGGTGAGTGATTAGAGAAGGGATGTCAAAGAGTAAAGTGATCGGGTAAACAGTGTATAGAAGTGAACCCTATCTGTCATCAGTGCCGTACCGACTCATCGCTCTCGAGCGACAATACATTGCGCGGGGGCTCAAACGCTCGAACGAGGAAGATCCACGCGGTTGGCTGCCTGTCCCACTGCCGCCGTGCCTCTCCCCCCTCCCCCCTTCTCCCCGAAGTGGTAAGTGTGCTAAAAGTGAATGTCTATCAACGATGAGATGATTTAGTGTGTGAAATTGATTGTCATTTCTTTCTTTCTAGAACCAGAGGATCAATTCATAAGGAAGCAAGGAAGAACAAAGATGTAGTATTTGTAAATTTATTAAGAATAAAAGAGTCATATAAAATAAAAGCCTACAAAAAAAACACTTATTCTACTTTTTTGCTCTACACCTTAGACATATGTACAAGGAAATCACGGTGAAATATCAAAATTTGTTGCAACAGTTTTTTAGTCTGTCCTACATTTGTGTCGTGGGGGATGGACAATCCCTGACCTATTTTGATCACTTCTAAATCAGAATTTACATTTTTTAATTCGCGTTTGAAGAAATCCAACATAAAATTAACTTTGGGGGTGATTGCGGTAAGTGAGGCAATTTCCTCCCGGAGCGTGTCTCGCAAGAGGAACATCCGCTGCCACCCCTTGTACTTAAGACAAAAATTGCTGGGGAACGGAGTTAATTTTTCCCTCGTGATACTCAACACCCACTCCCCGCTAAGATACAAAAATTTGATCGTAACACCCCCGATATCAAAAGTGTCCCCCGGCCCATATATCTCCCTGGACATGAAGCCCGAACTTATCCTCCCCGCGATGGAGTTCTTGATGAGGATGAAAAATTCATCCAGGGAAAGGCGAAGAAATTGTTGTTTCCCCGCTTTTCCCCACCCGTAGAACAGCACATACGGGGCCATTGAGCGCAAGTCCAGACCGACTCGCACGTGCTTGCCCATGGAGTCGGTCAGGTGGTAGTCCTTCCAGTACACTTCTCTTGGGCGCACGTGCATGCCTTCGGGCGGATCGACAAAGTTGTCCAATGCGTCATCGTCTTCGATAGTCTGAAAAAATACAAATAAGAAAAAATTAGTGGTGCTCACGATTATAGAAGAAAGGGGGTAGGCGTGGCCAAAAAACAGATCAACTAAAAAATGAGAGAAAAACTTACATCGGTCGGAATGGTTGATTCCGGAGTGGGGGTGTCCTCGGAGACCGCCACCGGTGTCGGAGGTTGGGCTTCTACCGACGACGGGCCTTGGTCCAAAGTGGTGGTGGTGGTGGACTCTTCCGGCGGCTTCTGATCAGAGTTCTGAAAAAAACAGGTCAATCATACATTACTTTTTCGCCGTGCGCATTAATACGAAATCAAGACTAGAAAAAATAAACAGAGAACTTACACATATTTCGGAACACGTCTCTTCAAAATCTTCCATGGTAAGACCCAATTCTTCGACAATGTCCCGCAACACGTCCCGCGGGACGATGTCGGGGGTCTTCTCCTCCCCCGGGGCCAGGGTCGCCTGCTTCTTCTTCTTGGTGAGAGACAGAGTCGACGGTCGCTTCGGCATCTTCGCAAAGCAAGAGGACAGAGTGGATGAGGGTAACCAGGGCTTCGAAGCCGCGCTGGCGGAGGAAGGTTTACCAGGGCTACACAGCCGCGCTGGTCGAGGGATGGGTGCACCAGGGCTACTCAGCCGCGCTGGTCAGGGTAGGAGGATGGGAAATGTCGCCCTGGACCGAGGTCCACGCATTTATAGGGGGCCGACCAGCCCCCCACCACCATGCATCTGCAGGGCGCGAGATGGAAACTATCCCGCACCCTTCCTCTCCCCGCTCCAGAAAACACTGAAGTCAGCAGAAATGCGCGGATAAAAGACAGCCCGCAACGGTGGCCCGCGAGTTCCGATACGAGCTGTGATCATGTGCGAGTTGGTGGACAAGCTGGTCGCCGCCTGGCTCGAAGGGCGTTTCGCGCCGCGCCCTGACCTACACATCGCCGCGTTCAACGAGTGCCTCAACGCGTACCGTCATGTGTTACCGGTCGAACCGAGCGAGACGCTCCGCGCGTTCCTGGAGGAGGGCCGTCTTCTCTCGCGTCTGGAGTCCCGGATGACGGGGTCGCCCCTCCGCGCCGACACCATGCTGGCCGAAAGCATGATGGGGCTTGGTGCTCTTACGCGTTCCGATGTACGGCACGTGCGGGGCAAGTACCGCCCGGCCAGAGGCCCCCGTGCCGCGGAGTGTCACGAGACCCTTTCTGATGACGTGGCGCCTCGCGCCGTATCTCCTGCTCCCCCCTCGCCCCCCTCGCCCCCTACATCATGCAAGAGGGGGCATGAAGAGGACGAGAGAGAAAATGAAGAGCCAAGCATTGAGATTTTGGAGACGCGTGAGCGCCATCTCTCCCGTTTCAAGACCAATTTTCGGGAAGAAGTTGCGTTGGTACGCGGCATGGCATCGTTTCAAGACCCGTCAGATGCAGTCATCTCACTATTTGACACCATACTCGAGCGCCAAGTTCAGGCCGTGGATGCGCGCCCGCACGACCGGTGTTGCATGGAGATAAGTGGCAGTGAAGAGAATGGCCGTGCTGTGTGGTTTAGTTTGAGACGGGTAGATCAGGCTAGTGGACGAGTTCTGGCAGACAAACTCTCCCGTGTCATTCAATCAAACCAAAACTTCATGGCGGACGGTGTGCTGCATGTCTCCTTCATACACATCCCCACGCCTGAGGCAGGTGGGGTGTCCGAGAAGAGGGGGAATGAAACCATGGAGAGCTGGCTCGCGCGCCGTGTCGGGAACGCATCAATATTCGACCCCCAAAATAAAGACAATATGTGCTTGGCACGATGCATCGCGCTTTCAATGGCATACAGTAAGTTGTCGGCAGACCGCGAGGAGTACAACAAGAGGGGAAAATACATCATACACCGTATGAAACAGCCTCAGTCTGTGGTGTTAAAAACAGAAGCTTCTCAACTCTGTAGAGCATGTGGTGTCCCGCCAGAAACAAAGTGTGATTTAGACGATATTCAGCGCTTCCAGGACTCGCTAACGAATCATCGCCTGGTGGTGTTCACTAGTCAGACAGGAAAAGACATTGTGTTTCGGGGTCCGCCCTCCAGTCTGGGGTCTCCCCGTAAAAATGTGTATTTATTGTGGACTGAAGGACATTTCTACACCATCCTGAATGTGAAGTCTGCATACTCTTGGAGTTACTTTTGTGAGCGCTGCCTTGTAGGCTATGCCTCTAGTGGTCACCATAAGTGTAGCGGCTCGTGCTGGCGGTGTCTTTCGCCTGATTCACACCCTGAAGAGAATGAAGTTCTCATTCGATGCCAAGACTGTAATCGTCATTTTTCAGGACAAAATTGCTTCGATCAACACAAAGAAAAGCAGGTGGCTGGTGCAAGTACGTGTTCGATGATGAAGTTTTGTGCAAAATGTCTCACAACTTTCAATTTTCATCAAAAACCAAAGAACTGGACCCATGAGTGCGGCAAGATAAGGTGCAGGTATTGTAAACTGAATGTGGCCGAAAATCATTTGTGCTACATGTCACCTTGGGACCCACGCCCTCTGTGCCAAAAGACACGTTTCATGACAGTTTATTTCGACATCGAGTCTAGTGCTGTCGAGCAAGTGCCAGACAAACCCTCGTCGTGGCGTTATCATCACCCAGTCCTCCTAATATCTCAGCAACTTTGTGACACTTGCAAACCAATAAGTCAGCCAAACTACTTGTGTGAAGAGTGTGGTGCTCGTGAAAATATATTCTCAGCGATTGAAGATCCTTCAGTAAATGTTGTGAGTAAATTTTTAGACCATTTACAAGCACTATGCTCAGAGAAAAAGACCCACTTGTTAATTCTGGCACACAATTTTCGGTCGTTCGATGGCTATATGATAATTGAAGAACTCTTGAAGAGGAAGATGAAACCAGAAGTTGTGTTGCAAGGTGCCAAAATAATTTCATTAAAAGTAGGGAATTGGGAATTCAAGGACTCCCTGTGTTTTGTACCGGCAAAATTGAGCAGTCTCCCAAAAAGTTTTGATCTAGACGAGGGGCTGTCTAAATCTCATTTCCCATATCTTGCTATACGCCCTGAGTTTTTCAACTATGAGGGCGCACTCCCCGAGAAAAAGTTGTACTGTCCGGATACTATGAAGATGAAGGAGAGGCAAGTTTTCGAAAAGTGGTATGACGAGAAAGTGCAAGAAGGTTATGTTTTTAATTTCAAAACAGAGATTGTGAAGTACTGCTCTGCAGACGTGACTTTACTTCGCGAAGCTCTGCAACGCTTCAGATCACTTTTTCAAGACATTGCTGGTTTTGACCCGCTTTTCCACGCCCTCACACTTTCATCAGCCTGTATGAGGATGTACCGATTTAAGCATCTGCCGCTCTACAAGATTGGAATTGTTCCGCAGGGGGGCTATCGGGGGAGAGACAAACAGAGTTTTGTGGCCCTGAAATGGTTGGATTATGAGCAACACTGTCTTGAAGGTCGATCAAGAATTATGACTGCTGAAAATGGCCGGGAGGTTGTCATTTTAAGGCGAAGAGTAGACGGATATGACGCCAGCACGAAAACAATATATCAATTTCACGGGTGCTACTTCCATGCATGCCCCAAGTGCTTTCCAAAGCCAGAAAGAGAGATGCACGGAGCGGCAAGTACGGCACTAGATAGGTATGAGAAAACACTCAGGACAAGTGAGATGTTTCGAATGAACGGGTACAAAGTGAAGGAAATTTGGGAGTGTGACTTCGACCAACAGAGCAAGACGGATCCAGCCATGGTTCGATTTTACTCGCAAAATGAGACAGTAAGGATTCCACCGCTCAAGTTGCGAGACGCGCTGTATGGGGGCAGAACGAGTGCACTCCAAAGTTACGTCGAATGTGACTTGTCAAAAAATGAAAAAATCATGTTTGTCGATGTAACGAGCCAGTATCCAAATGCGAATTTGAGATTTGCCTACCCAGTAGGGCACCCTCAGATTTTCCTTAGGGGTGATCCCTCAATGCCTCCGATAGACAAGATGAATGGTGCGGTGAAGGCCAAAGTTCTCCCTCCTGTTGACCTATTCCTTCCAGTACTTCCATACAGAGCCTGTTCAAAACTCATGTTTCCTCTCTGCCGAACGTGCTGCGAGAATGAGAATCAAGAAAAGTGTGACCATGTCAATCCAGAAGACAGAGCACTGACGGGGACGTGGCCAGCGCCTGAATTTGTGTTTGCTGTAAAAGAAAAGGGCTACCAAGTGTTAGAAATCTATGAGTGTTACCAATATGCAGAGATGGCCCAGTTCGACCCGAAAACTGGGGAAGATGGACTTTTTTCTGCTTATGTTAGAGAGGGCATGGCTCTAAAACAGCACGCGTCGGGGTGGCCGAGCGGAGTCGAGACTGAAGAGGAGAAAGCGGCCTACATTGAGGAGGTGAAAAAAGAGGAGGGAATCATTTTGGACCCAGCCAAGATGAAAAGGAACGAGGGGATGAGAATGATTGCAAAACTGATTCTTAACTCCTTCTGTAAGTATAGTGAAAATGTGCGTACCGGGGTTGTAAGATGTCGTGTTTTATTGTATTTTTTCATTTTTTACAGGGGGTAAGATGGGGGAGAAGACTCTGAGGGGAGTCACCAAGTTTGCCAACAGCTTTACGTCCATGATGGAGGTCATCAATGACCCCACGCTCGAGATCCGTTCCATGCTTCCGCTGGGGGAGGAGTGCCTTCAAATCAATTGCATGCCAAAAGAAGACTGTGAGGACAGCCTGAGGACTTCCAGCCTGATTAACGCTGCATTTACCACTTGCTACGGGCGTCTTCATCTCTACAAGTACCTGGACATGGTCGGAGAACGGGCGATTTACCACGACACCGGTGAGTACCGAACGGTGGAGCAGGTAGACATTGGACGCGAAACTGTTTTCTACATATACTTTTTTTCTCATTTCCAGACTCAGTATGCTACTTGTCCGTGCCCCATCTCCCTGATCCACCGCTCGGTACTCACCTTGGGGAGCTCACAGATCAGATTTCGGATGACTTCGGAGCCGGTTCTTTCTGTTTCGCTTTCGTCGCTGGGGGTGCTAAGAACTATTCTTACAAAGTAGCGGTGAAAGGGGACATGAACAATGTGAAAGTGGTCACCAAAGTCCGTGGGATTCAACTGAACGGATCAAATGAAGACATCATCACCTTTGAAAACTTAAAGGCGATGGTCTTAAGTGACCAGAAAGAAAAACACATCGTCCCCATCCCCGGACAGATTGCCCGTCTGCCGGGGTGGAAAATAATCACCCGGGACACCTCAAAAACGTGGCAGGTTGTACTGAACAAAAGACGGAGGGTCGATAAGGCGAAGACGGAGCCCTACGGGTACAAGGCGTGGACCGCAGAGGACGACGATTTACTGAACGTTCTCGAGGAGTTGGCCCTCAGCTAGGGTCCACCGCCACCGCCCGCGCCCGCCGCCGCCGCCCGCGCCCGCCGCCGACCGCCGCCGACCGCCGACCGCCGCCGCCGCCGCCGACCGCCGCCGCCGCCGACCGCCGCCGCCGCCGACCGCCGACCGCCGCCGCCCACCACCCACGTCCTAGATACTTTGAATCTATGTACAGAAATGATTGATCTTTGTAAAATAAACAGCCAAAATTATTGACACCTGTAAAAATGATAAAATAAACAGCCACAAGACAAGCTATATAAACTCGATTAGTCCCCTTCTCCTTTCAGTCATCATGGATCTTCGGTTCCATCACGCGACCACAGGGCTACTTGTGGGTGGGACAGGGGCGGGCAAGACCTATTTCATGAAAAGATTGATTGAGAACAGGAACTCGATGTTCAACGTTCAGTTTGAACGCATAGTATGGCACTATACGGAATGGCAAAGTATCTATGAAGACCTTAAGGTCAAATGCGGTGTTGAATTCTACGAGGGTGTGCCGATATTGGACGAGTTCCCGACAAATCGTGGTCCTGTACTACTAGTCATTGATGACTGCATGGATCAACTGGCAAATCCAGAAATTTTAAAATTCTTCATCAAAGGGGCGCATCACCGCAACCTTTCCGTATTTTTTCTCTCGCAGTGTCTCTTTCCAAAAGGGCTGCGACAAATAAGTTTAAATTGTAGCGTTTGCGTCATTTTCAAAACCAGCCGTGACTTGGCACAGGTCAGATCTTTCTGTATGCAAGTTAATCCGTCCGATTGGCGTGCTCTTATGCAAGCGTATCAAGACGCAACGTCAGATGCGCACACCTATCTTCTCTTCGACTTTTCCTATAGCCAAGCCGAACATCTGCGGCTCCGCACACGCATTTTTCCGGGAGAAAGTACCGTTGTCTACATTCCCAAGAAAACCTATAAAAGTGGAGTCCCACGCGAAATGACGATAGTCAGCCATGTCGCCAAGTAGGAAGAGCATCGAGGAGAACAAACACATTTTGCATGTGTTGCGTACAGCACGCCCGCCGATGAGAAAAGCCATCCTTCAGGCTGCAGATAAGAAAATTGTCTATGCTATTTGTGAGATTTGTGAAAATCTTCTCGTTGGAAACATTCCACTTTCACCTCAACAAAAATCGAAGTTGGCACGGCACCGAAATATACTGAGAAAATTGGCCAGCAGGGGTGAGAGCTGGGAGTGTAAAAAGAAAGTACTTCAAGAGACTGGTGGTGCTTTTCTCCCCATCTTACTGACTGTCCTCGCCTCTGTCTTGGGGCCAAATCTTTTCTAAATGGAGCACGTCAAGAAGATGGTTTTAGTGCCGAGCGAAACGGTCGCCAGACTACAAGAAAAAACTGTGATCCCGACACCGTCTGATAAAATCGGGCAGCTCGATGGTGAAATGGACGCAGTGCTACGCTCATCTGGGAACGACGAGGAAAAGCTACAGCGATACGAGCAGCTGCTACAGAGATGTATGCATTTTGTAAACGAACAACGCAAACCGTTCCGCCTGACTTTACCTGCAGGGGAAGAAGAGCCCCCCGTTCAATCCGAACCGCCAGATCCTATTCGCAACCAGATCGAGGCGATGATGCCCCCAAAACTGAAGAACACTTCCAAAATTGTTTATGACTTGCTTAAGTCGACTCCCGGTATTTCTTGGAATAGTGCGGGAGAAGTGACAGTCGCCGGTACGATATTTCCAAACAGTAACATCGCCGATCTCGTATCGGATGGAATTAGAGCGAGAAGACAAGGGCACGCGAAAGGCTGGGACACTTTCTGCCAAGCGCTCGCCAAAACCAATTTTCCGATCGATCTTATAAATAATACAGCCTACAAAAAGATCATTCGAAACCAGAGAGGCAAGGGGTTAACATCTCACGATGAAAAGTGTAAGGCAAAGTGCGTCAAGAAAAAAATCAAGCCGGTGCAAAGTTTCAACTGGAAGACTTGGGGATAATGTAAGAGAGATCTTCACTGACCCCGCTCACCCTGCGGGTTTTAGTACCCCGTGGAAACTTTGGATAGCAACGGAAAAGAAGACGGCGCGCAGTGCCATCGAGACATATCTACAGCAAGAGGATGCGTACACTCTACACAAGCAGTCACGGCGGCGTTTCCCACGCAACGTGACTTATGCAGATGTGGCCGATGATTGTTGGCAGTGCGATCTTTCAGATATGCAGTCTCTTGCAGAGGATAATGACGGATTTAAATACATTCTTTGTGTCATTTGTGTTTTCTCCAAATTTGCCTGGTGTATCCCTGTGAAAAATAAATCTTGCGATGAAATCATTAGAGCGTTTAAATCCTTGTTCGACTCTACATCGAGACGATGCTCGCGTTTAATCGGAGATAAAGGTGGGGAGTTTAACAGCCGACGCTTCCACCAGTTTCTGAAAAAGCATGGTATTGAGTTTTTTCACACAAATAACCCCGACACGAAAGCATCTGTCTGTGAAAGATTTCAGCGAACTTTGAAGGAAAAGATGTTCAAAGTATTTACGCACTTTGAGAACTACAGATATATTGACAGTGTTCTCAACCAGATTGTGCATGCATATAATAACACATATCACAGAAGCATTAAAATGACGCCGCATCAGGCCAGCCAGCCAGAGAGAACTTTAAAAGTGTACAACATATTGTACGGAAGCGAACGGAAGAGAAAAACTCCAAAGCTGCATATTGGTGATTACGTGCGGATTTCGCGACAGAAAGGAGCTTTTGAAAAGGGGTACACATGGAACTGGTCAGAGGAGATTTTCAAAATTATATCCGTGATCTCGCACGCCCTCCCGTGTTATAAAATTCAGGATTTGGATGGAGATGAAGTGACTGGACATTTCTACGAGGCTGAGCTTCAGAAAGTGACCAAACCAGAGGCATTCAAAATTGCATATATTGTCCGGTCGAAGGGGAGAGACGCCAGTCGCAAACATCTAGTTCGGTGGCGCGGTTGGCCTGAGAAGTCAAACTCTTGGGTATTTGATAAAGACATCGTCCGCACATGATGGATTTTTATGCTTTCCTACCCAGTAACGCCTCACCGGAGCTATACCAGGACAATACGACTTCTCATTTTAAAATCCAACTTGCGAAGAGACTGGATTTACATGGGAAATGGCAAGTGGCGCTAGTTCAAATCTTTTACCCGAATACTATTGCCCAAGTCACAGAGAATGAGAACGAAATTTTTCTGACGCATTCCGACGGAAAAGTGGCAAAATACACCGTCCCTCCTGCGCACTATCACTCGCTGAGAGATTTCACTTTTGCGATGCACGAAGCTTTAGCTGATCTGGAGGAAATTCCGGACGGGGGAGGAAGGAAAAGTGTTGTGGAATGTTTGTCGGACGGAAAAGTTATGTTTTATCCTATTGAGAAGCATCCCGATGCGACCTATTCTTTTTCACCGCGCCTCGCCCTGCAGCTCGGACTTGGACACGCCGGCCCCTATCCTGCCAATGTAAACCTGTGTGCTACAAACCCCGCCGACCTTAGCCTCGGAGTACCACCTCTGATGTTTATCTACCTTGACAAAATTTCGGATCAAATTGTCGGGCACAGTGAAGCACCTCTTCTTGCCACTGTACCGACGAACATCGATGGACGGTATGGAAGTGTATCCATATACACTGTTGACCACCCCCAGTACTTTGACTTAACGACGAAGAATTTCGACACCTTGGAAATCAATATAAGGGATCACACCGGCAATTTCGTGCCATTCCTTTACGGGACGTCGATGCTGCTGTGTCACTTCAGAGAACAAGTTGGATAAAAGATGGAGCAGAGTATTGTCCGGTACTATGTCAACCAGGCTGGGAGCGGAGTGGGTGGCTTCTATGCTGGAGCGTCTCATCAGAAAGGCTACTCCATCGGAGGGTTTTTGGGCGGATTATTTCGAAGCATACTCCCTTTCCTGAAGCCTGGTGCAAAGGCCATCGGTCAAGAGGCACTCCGGGCCGGTAGTCATATCCTGGCAGATGCCGCAGCAGGTGACTCGATCCGCACTAGTACTAGACGCCACGCAAGTGAAGCTCGTGATAATCTTCTGAAAAAAATGGCAAGTAAGCTGCAGGGAAACGGTATAAAAAGAAAGCGTGCTGCTCCACACCGTCAGTTGAAGGCGAGCGGCACTGCCGTGAAGATAAAGAGACGAAGGACACACATTGACGACGTTTTCCGAAAGTGAAACGATGGCGTTGCTCCACAACAACTCACAGTACGCCCTAGACACGGCACTTGATTGCTTTGGCGTGCATCCGACGAACATGTCTCTCGAAAATGGATACTACACGGTCGTCAACCCCATCTGCTCTGCTGAAGACTCGGCTACCGTCGAATATGTTGTTTCGGCGAGTGGCGAGGACTACATCGATGTCCCGCACACACTAGTATTTGTTCAAGGAAAGATAGTCAAAATCAATGGCGCTGATCTGACGGATGCAGACAATCCTGATGTTGCTCCTGTCAACTATTTTCTACATGCAATGTGGAAACAAGTAGATGTTGAACTAAACGGAACACTTGTCTCTCAAGCCTCCAGCACTTACCATTACAGAAGCTATATGGAAGCCTGTCTCGGATATGACTATTCGGCGAAATCTTCCCACCTAACTTCACGTCTCTGGTACAAAGATCAGGCGGGCTCTATGGAATCTTTGACAACCAACTCGGGCCTTCACAGCAGAAGAGCTATTGCAGGAAAAAGCGCAATATTTGAAATGATTGGAGCGATGCACGGTGACATTTTTAATCAAGATCGGTACATTATAAACAATGTTGAGATGAGAATAAAATTCCACAAGAACTCGCCTCAATTTATGCTCATGTCTAGCAGCAATGAAAGATTCAAAGTGACTAAAATGTATCTCCTCGTGAGGAAAGTGCTCCCCGCTACATCTGTCCGATTGGGGCACGCAGAGGCACTTTTGGTCTCCTCTGCAAAATACCCGATTAGAAGAACGGAAATGAAGACTGTCTCG